GAGTCGGTCCGCCTGCCCCGAGCGCCGCTGTTTTGTTTGGCACCAGTCCCCGCCTCCAAACGTATTCAGACACCGTGACCGGACGACGCGCGATCCAGAAGCCGCTGCCCGGAAGGTGGGGTGTTTTCACCTGGGGAGGTGTAGTATACGCGGAGCCAGCTAACACAGACGTGTTTCGTGTTTCCCAGAATGTGTTTCCGTTGGGCATCCAGCTAAACTTATTCGCTTGTTGATCTTGTGTAAGCTAATGCTGGTCAGGCATGTCCGAAGCACGGATAGTCCTGGATGCTGTAGGTCGGCTTCGTTTCATCTGCCGTGTGTGAGTCGGCCCTAGGCGCCATCTTGTGGGACACATTTGATCCGATGGGTTGGCTGGATCCGTAATGTGGACACAGTCTGTTTTATAAAACTGGTTAAATAAATGCGTCTGGAAGCATTGTTTTTGCGTAGAGAAAGAAGCATCAGCATTGGGTAAAAGGGAAGGTGGCGAATACGGCGTGAGCTATCAGACGCGTTCATGGTGGAAGAGACTGGACTGGGAGGCGGGTGTTCTCGACATCTCAGGTTCCCAAAGTCAGCGAAACCGAAGCGCGCGACACAAAGCTGAAGCAAAACTGCTGTTGTGTCCTACCCTATCCTATGTCCGGAAACAGAACAAGTAATTCAATGGTCACGGGTAATCCGTCGACCACTGCCGCGTTTAACGTTGTCTGCACATGTGACGCCAGTTTGTGTTCACATTGAGCGGAGCCTCTAGCCGCGCCAGTTTTCGGAAGCCGGAAAGTGTGGAAGTTCAGCGACGAGTTCGGCCAGACGCGCTCTTGACGTGGCTTGCATGTATCTGCTGATCCCTACGCCGTTTCATCACGACTTTGTCACCAACAACCGGTGCGGTTCGTTAGGTGTGTCTTGACTGTACAACACGCGTACGTGCTGATAGATAAGGCTGCGTATTTTTGAATGGTGGCGGTGCCCTCGCCACCGCATCCCATTCATATGGGACACAGGCAGCTTCCCGGAAGCTTTTTCTGCGGTGGTGTGAAGGGGAGACAATTTGGAAAAAAGGTACTGCTGCAGGTGTCCAATGTATGTTTTACACTCTGATTGGTAGTAATGCTGTTGCACAACTACGCAGCAAAGCGGCCATACGATCAGTCCGCAGTCAGTCCTGGCGGGGAGGGGGGGGGGGGGGGGGCAGCAGGGTCACGGCAGTGTGGCTGCCGGCGACGGACGGGAAAAGGGCTCAGGTAAGGAATATATGACAGGAGAGCCTCATTCTATGACTTGGCTTTTTACAGGACAAAATCCAGTTTAATGCCTTTCTTTGTAAATCACATTGTTTCCAACAGTAAGTATTTGAAGCTTTCGAATTAGTTTCCGCCCACCATGATGCGACAGATCTTCTCTCTAGAAAAATAACCCGTAACATCTAGGCACATGAAAACTCAGGTCCACTATGGGCCATCGATTGTCATTTAAAATTCTGACCAGCAATCGTCGAGTTCGTATTTTGGCATCTACCCCGTGGAAGTAAATGCCCCCTCAAGCGCCCAAAATACCGACCCGCTCGAGGCATTCGCCTACCCAGGGAAACAATGCTGAAATGGACGAATAATCGTGGGAAGTTGGATGACCTTATTTACCGAATGACATGGATGAGTCCAATAGGATTTTAATGTTTTCCAAAATATATGTCAGGGTGAATTGCGAGCGGACAGTAACTTCCATCTCTACCTCCCCCCCCCCTCCCCTGGTCGCCGGGGTTGCTTCCAAGAAAAAGTTCCAGAAGTATACCCTGAGCCTGTCCCATACTTTTTCGAACGTTCCTACGCCTTGGTTGGTTGCACCATCGCTTCTTCCACGTTACCAACGGTGTACTGCCGGCTGCATTTATACGGAAAGCACGATCGTAGGATTCTTACAGCCATTTCTTTATTTCTTACCTAGGTTATCTTACCTCGGTCTCCTTGCTCCGAACACCATGCTAAGGTATAATTCGGTTGGAACTTTTGTAGCCAGTGAGTACTCAAAATTATGATTAAATTGCAACTATGGTGAGGGTAAGTCAGAAATGCAAACATGCCGAAGGCAACAACGCAATCGGCTACGAAATGGCCACAAATTAGTGATCTCTTTTTCATGCAGAATGGGCGCGGAAAACGGCGCAGACGTTTCGTACACTACCGCACACGCGCATGCTGCGCGCATTCGAGGCTAATGAATGGCGATGCGGGGTTCGCTTGCTAGGTGCTGAGTTCGCGTGGTGGTCGCGCGTGATTGGGAGTCAATTTATGGCAGCTTGATTGCGGTAGGAAGGCCGTAGTAATTAGGAGCGTAGTGTGTTCAAGATGAAGGAGTGGTCGGTCGGTGAGAGCCAACTGAAAACTTGATCCACCGCGGTTTCAATACACAGCCTCAATTCGGAGGGAATCACGATGGTAAGCTTTTAGGGGCAGGGGTTGGCGCGGTATGATGAAGATTGCCATCCTTGCTGGACAGTTACAGACATTTGCCTGCTGTCAAGACCTCCACCATTATAGTTGTTCATAGGCTGGTGGATATTTGCCCTGATCCTTGCACTGAATGAGGGTTTCTGCAGAAACCTTGAAACCCATTGGCCTTGCCTTCCATCTGGGGTATTAAACAAATGGTAATTCGATGACAGACAATCTTGACAAAGCCATTACTGCAAGTGCTCCCCAGTATAATGTAAGGTTCATGACAGGCATGCTTTTCCTAGATCTAACTATATTTGTTGCTGGCAATGGGGTTCTGGAATTCTCCTGCATATTTGTAATTGCATTACTGGCTATGAGCTGAGGCTTTCTTGGTGGCTATGGTGCAGTGTTATTTTGGCTTGTCTTAGGCATTTGGAATGGATATGGCTTATGCACAATGCGTAAGCATGAATATGAAGGTTGGCATGCATGAA